GGAGAAACATGCTTTCCCATTCCAGGTGGTCAAAAAGTTTCTCCACATAAGTAGGTCTGCCGTGGCTTGGGTATCCAGTGGTAACCTGTGTGCATCATGTCTAAACAGTGGGAACATGGTTAGGAGCCGTGAGATGAAAACCCGGCCTTGAGGTATTATGCGCATGGCAAAGTTCAGTGACCCAAGTAGAGACTGTAATTCTTTGCGATTGCAAGTACTGAGGTGTATGTAGAGGTTAATGTTGGTGAGAATGTTCTCTATCTTGGTGCGTGGCAGGCTGGCTTGCATGGTGGCTGAGTCTAGCATGATTCCCAGAAAGGTGATGACTGTATCTGGTCCTTCAGTTTTGGTGGGGGAGACTGGAACACCCACCTGTTTAAAAAGACTGATGGTTTCTATGAGGCTACCGGGAGGGGAAGTGTTCTCTTCGATCAGTAAGAAATCATCCAGGTAGTGTATAACTGTAGGGCATCTGGCTACATTTAATAATAACCAGCATAATGTTTCGGCGAATACGTCGAAAATGGCCGGACTACTTTTTGAACCAAACGTTAGGCGTGAGAAAAAGTAGTAGTGCCCGTCCCACTTAATGCCATGCAGGTGCCATAGTGTAGGGTGGATAGGCAATAATTTGAAGGCATTTGTAATGTCAGTCTTGCTGAGCCATGCTCCGACCCCTGCCTGCATGATAGCTGTAATGGCGTGATCTATGGTGGAGTATTGAAGTGAAAATTCCTAAGAGGGGATAAGGGAGTTCAGACTAGGTGAGGCAGAGGTGTGAGGTGCAGACAGATCGATGATAAGTCTTTGTTTGTGGGAAGATTTCCCTGTGACAATACCGATGGGGTTTGTCCGCCATGTGGAAAAAGGAGGGGACTGAAAGGGTCCCAATAGGAAGCCCTCTGCCACTTCTTTGGCTATGAGTGTGCTAACCGCTGTAGGGTTTTGCTGTGCAGATTGTAAATTAGGACATTCAAGGATTCCTGAAGGCATGTGTATGAGACCAGTATGGAATCCTTGTGATAGACCAGTGATGATGAAGTCTACCAAATGTCTGGATGGATGTCGTAACAGTAATGCCGTGAGTACAGAAATATTTATCTCGGTTAAGTATTGCTTAGGGTACATTTTATTTGGACACATGGTTTTCGCATGTGCCCTAAAACATTTTGAACATATATGCAATAACCGACAACCGCTGTAATTACATGCACCGACATTGAAATTATTACATATTTGGGACTTCCCCAAAAACTTGATAGGTCGACCCAGTTTGTCTTTGGGTGTTCTCTCTGCCAAAACAGCGGAGCTAGTGCCCTGCGAGGTGGTAGGTTCGTTCGCAGTGGTCGGACAAAAATTGGCAGTATGAGCCATGGATGAGCAGTGTGCACAGGCCGGTGCTCTTAGACCTGCAAAGTGCCTGCAAAAATGATCGTATCAATCTTACTCCAGTTGGACCTTGTCCCGTACTGTGAGAAGGCGCCAGACACTTTGGCAGAAAAGGATCTATGGTAGTCATAGAAAGCTGACCCACCATATTTGTTGCCCAGATCAACCAGCCTGTGCGTATATAAGTCAAACTCCTCACGTCTGTGGGGATATACCGTACAGACCACATCCCGATAAATGCCAAAAGCTAATACAAATTCTGGAATGGTTAGCTTCCTATTTAATCGTGCATCCCTGGATTTGACTACCACAGAAATATCGTCATAAGCGTAGGTCTTATGTTCCACTATATCCTGGGAGGCAATTAGTAGTGAGGCCAGATTGACATCTTTACCTTCCAGGATATCTCTCCTGAGGTGCTCAGGAATCATGTGGGCAGGGTAGACTTCTTGGTCATCCGAGGTGATAGCTGGAGAAACTGATTGCAACTCCACCACTGATGGGGGAATTGCCGTGGCCGGTCCAGCCATAGTGAGGGCTGTAGTGACCGATTCAAGTTTCTCCAGCCTAGAATTGACCTTGCTCATGGATGTCATGAGGGACGTGAGCATTTCATGTATGTTCCCTGGGTGGGACTGGCTCGACCCTTCCCCAGCGTCCGTGTTATCGGTTGAGGTGTGTAATAATCTGTAAAGTTCCGCTTTCCTTGCTGTTGCTGGAAAAGGGATTTGTCGTCTCCTGAGTTCGCTAGTGATACGAGGGATAGTCCATGATCTGAAAGATGCTGGACTAGCCGTATCTTCCTCCTGTGATGGGGTGTTGGTTCTAGCCGGAGTCCTTTGGATGGAGAAATCCTCTACCCCTTCTTGCGACATACTAGATTACAAAGTATATGGTTAGCATAAAAACCCCCGAGGGGATGTACTGGCAGGCTAATTATGCCGGATGAGGCGAAAAATTAAAACTTGTTCTTTGGTGACAGGTGAGGCCCTGCTAGTTGCCAAGTGGCTATGAGAGGCTCTATCTATGCGTTGGCGCGAGGGGTTATTGAGGCCACCCGACGTAGTGGCAGGAATTCGTAGGCCTCTCGGTGACAATACAAGAAAAACAGGGGAAGGGAGTGACAGGTGGCACCCTCTCTATAATGCGAGGCGGCTAACTCACGTGTGGCCCGGGGGGCATTACCTCCGAAACGTTGAGGCGGGGTGTTGGCCTCGCGGACCACTAAACGATAGGCAGAATGCCCGGAGGGGGATACCTATTTGGGCCTATAACCCCTAAAATTGCCAGTACTCTATGTCCTAAGTAGAGGAGGAGCCATATGTGATGTATGGCGTGAGCAGGCTTAACGTACCTGGTAGTATGTATGCGTTTGATAAGCGATAGGTAGAGAAAACTGGAAAAACCTAAAGGGATAGAAAACCAAATATGATAGTGTGAGGATTGGATCCTATGATACCAATTTAGACTAGTTAGTTGTGATGAGTTCTAGTAGTACATATGGAAGGGGAATACATGAATGATATTGGCCCGACTGGCCCTGTATGTGGTATGGTAATCATGCTTGGGGGTGTGTATGATATGTCTCTGGTGACCAGATTAATGCGTATGATATAGTAATGCTAGTGTTTGTGGTATAATAAGGTGCAGGATTTAAAACAATACCGTATATGTTAGGCCGTAAACGTAAGCCATGAAAAGAGGTAAGTACGAGGTACAGAAATATTTGAGAAGTTATCCCAAAATTTGGAAACAACGTGACGTATGAGTGGTTGAATCAAGACGTGTGATTCAACCCGAGAGTTTGTGAGATTTGTGAGACCGTGTTCTTGTGTACTTGGTATGTCGTTTGAGTACACAAAGAAAAAGTCAGAATATATAAGTGCCATGTAAGAAACGTGAGTACATGGTATGATAGAAACGTAATTTCTAAACATAATTTATAACGTAAATCCTACAAGCGACATCTGTAAAATGTAAAGGCTTGTCTAAGCTTAACTCCATAAATATATGTATATAACATGAAGAATTTCAATAAAACTTTAATAATGCCATATCTGCTAAGATTAAACCATAACCTAAATAAATACTTATTCATAAGTAGTTAACAGGGGTATTGCCCCAGTCATATGCAAGGATTTCGTAATTTGCATAAGCTAAATAACAGTAAATGACATGAAACCAATTATAGCTGATGATATGCAGAACGAATTTGCTTAATACAAAGAAAAACCGAAACCGATATGCCTGCCGGCAGCAAAGGGGTTAATATGCCTGTGACTTGGCCGTAAAGCGTGTGGCCGTAAAGTAAGGCCGTTTTAAATCGCGACGCCGTGGGAAATGATCCGGGCGACGGACTTACGATTTTGAAGTCCTGTGGACTTAATCTGCGACGAAAACACCGGGTATGTGCGTGGCTGAACGGGCGGAAAACCTGTAAGGATTCCTGGACACAGCTACACCAAACGAAAACCGCGGGTTTTTGAAAAGCAAGATGGCGCCGTACGTGAACCGGAAGTGGATTCTCGATGCAGCGCTGACCTCGAACGGTATGGAGCCAGGTAAGGGGTGTCCCTTAAGTAGGGAGAAGGTGAGTCATACGCCCCTCCCACAATTACAGGCCAAAAGGCCTTAATACATGTGTATATATATATATGTATAATCAATGAAGGAGCACTCCAAGGGATTTTTCAAACTTGTTTATAATCCGGTGTTGAAAAAATCAACCATCAACGTTTCGACCCAATAGGGTCTTTATCAAGATATCAACAACCTCAAATTAATGTGTATATATACAGAAATACAAATGAATCTAACTTACCCCACCTGAGAAGTGAAGCCCGCTCACCAAGTGCCGCCGAGTAGTGCGCATGCGTAATGACGTCACCGGAACGGTGCGTCATGACGTGTGTGCGTACGTGCGTGATAACGTGATCATGTGATCCCATGGACCGCAAGCGTGTCCATGGAAACCTGAATCAATAAAAACAAAGCAAAAGGAAAGATAGGAAACTACAGACCGGAGAAGTCATCAATGTTAATGAGCCACAATTGAAATAAGTAAATAAATAAATACACAGAGTGTAGCTAGGAGAAAAAAACGTGAAGCAAAGAGTGAAAAGAAGCATAAGACAAAAATTAAAAGAAGAATGTGTAGAGAAAAAGTGAAAAAAGTGAAAAAACACAAATAAGAGCCTCTAAAAAGAGACAAAAACGTGATGTGTGAGAAAGAAAAGTGAAGTGTATGAATAGACATATACATCTGAAAATAGTGAAAGAAGAAGAATAGAGAAGAGATAAGACCTAGTACACCTCAGAATCCTAAACACATGTGATCCAATAATATGAAATGCATATATAATAGAGACAAATACCGGTCATACTTCCAAGTGTACATCAGATACAGCATAATATTACTAATAGACATGCCTATGTATGTTAAGTTCCTGCACATACAACAGTAAATAAACATTACATTATAATAATAAAGAAAAATGCAGAGGCCGAAAAATGTATACATATATATATATATATATATATATATATATATATATATATATATATATATATATATATATATATATATATATATATATATATATATATAGCCTAAAAAGAAAATAAATAAAAAATATATAAAAAATAGACTAACGTCTCTCCAAAAATGAGTTAAATGAAACATATTCGTTCAATCCTTTGGGATGCAACGTGTCCAATTGTTTAATCCAGAAGGTCTCCCTTTGAAGTAATAACTTTGACCGGTCACCTCCCCTGGTTGGAATAGGTATGACATCTATAGCAATAAATTTAAGCATGGGTAATCTGTGGTTAAATGCGAAGAAGTGTTTAGCCACAGGTTTGTCCGTTTTCCCATCTCTAAAAGCCGTCATAATAGCTGATCGATGCCCTCTGATCCTATCACGGAGGGTTAAATCCGTCTTACCCACATAAAAAAGACCACAGGGACAAGAGATTAAATAGACCACGTGATCAGTTAGACAGGTGATATAGTGTCGAATCTTATATCTTTTGCCCGAATGTGGATGTACAAAGGAAGAGCCAGTAAGCATATGACCACAAGTGACACATCCAGTACAACGAAAACAACCCATTTTGTTGGTTTTAGTTGGAGCCAATATTTCTCTAGGGAGGTCTGTTTTCATCAGAAAGTCTCTCAGATTTCTATTCCTAGTGTATGATATCCGAGGGGGATTGGAGAAGACCTTACTAAGGGTTTTATCAGTGGACAAAATCTCCCATCGTCTCCTAATATTCTTGGAGATATCCATACTTATATATATGTGTGTGTATATATATATATATATATACCGTATTTTTCGCTCCATAAGACGCACCTCACCATAAGACGCACCTAGTTTTTAGAGGAGGAAACACAGAAAAAAAAAATATTCTGAACAAACTGTTCCATAGTGTTTCTTACTATGGGACAGTTTGTTCAGAATATTTTTTTTTTCTCCCCTGTCCCATAATGATCTTTAACCCCCCTTTCCTCTGTCCCATAGTGATTGTTAACCCCTCCTCCCTGTCCCATAGTGTTCTTTAACCCCTCCTACCCTTGTCCATTAGTGTTCTGATCCCATAGTGCAATTTCCCTCCCATAGTGTCCCCCTCCCCTTCTCCCATAGTGTCTCCCCCTCCCCTTCTCCCATAGTGTCTCCCCCTCCCTTTCTCCCATAGTGTCCTCCTCCCCTTCTCCCATAGTGTCCTCCTCCCCTTCTCCCATAGTGTCTCCCCCTCCCCTTCTCCCATAGTGTCTCCCCCTCCCTTTCTCCCATAGTGTCTCCCCC